TAAGCTGTAAGTTTCCCCATGTCTGTGCTAAAAGACGCACTGGTGCCCTGTGAAAGACCCACTCAGAATTTGGCCTCAGATGTCAGATATCTTCGGGGTCACTATTTGAAAGACACATTTGAAAGTTAGACATTGCTCCGCCCCCCCCCACACACACACCCCAAGTCACAGACAGCAAAGACTAGGATCAGGTAAGTTCTGTTGCTGTGTCTCTCAGTTTCATGTGCACAAAAATCACCTGGGCCACTTGATAAAAGGCAGGCTCCGACTCAGGACTGAGCTCCTGTGTGCAGTTCTAAGCAGCTTCCAGGACAAAAGTCCTAGGGCTGCACAGGGAGGAGCACAGGGCCACAGTGGCTTCCTTCAGGGCTTCTTCACGTGCCTGCCCATGGCCTGCCTGGCCACCTAGCACCTGGGCCAGCCTCTCTTCCCTGTCACTTCAGAGGCCCCTACAGCCATCCGAGAGGCCATGTCCTGCTCACATAACCAAGCCTGTCTTTCCCTTCCCTCCTCCAAATCCATTGCAGGTCAGGAAGCGGTGTCCACACTTGCAAACTGTCCCTGATTGGTGTTTCTCCCTGAAGGGATTTTCTGTAATTTTTGAAAGCCCTCCAGCCTTTAAGATGCTCCCTCTCCCACTGCACTGGCTGCTTCTTCTTGGAGTCTAACTGGATGATAGATTGTGTCCTTTAACTAGTTTCTTGTCTCAAGAATACATTCGAATGGCTCCTTTTCAGCTTCCTCTTCTCAGTGGAATGTCACTCCCTGAGTACCGGTCCCTGAATATCCATCCTACTACCCCTTCTGAGCAGTGCCAGAATACTCTTTAAAAGTCTTCCTGCCCCTTATCAAGAGTTCAACATTTCAGTGTATCTCACTTATGTATTATCTGGCCCCTCTCCCTACCCACAGAGGGACAGGGATTTGTTTGCACTGATCACCGCTCTGTTCCCAGTGCCTGGAAACTGTCAAAGAGTCGGTGCTCAGAAAACTGTCGGATGAGTGCAGGACTCACAGTGCTGGGCCCACAAGAGATGTTTAACAAATGCTCCTGGGAGAATCAAAGATCTGGGATCTTATCATTCTTTATGTTCAAAAATCTAACTTCTCTTCGCTGCTGTGTACCCAGGGCAGCTTACAGCATGATATTTCTTTTTTTATTAGTGTGTATCTGAGATACATAATACATCTTAATCTCCCATCAGCAATAATTTAGAAAGATCAGATAAGTGAGTTATAATTTATTGGGCTCTTAGTGGCACCAGTCATCTGTGCAGGACACTGTAAATTATACGAAACAACCTAGACACCAGGGTGGACTCTGGGTGTACTTTGGGAACACAGGGCAAATGCAGCTGTGGGTCCCTTCTCCGGGGCTCTGCAAAGTCTGCTCCAAGCCCATCTTTGATCTACTTTTAAGTCGGCCTTTCTAGGTCCTCATCTCAGATCTCAAATTACCCCAGAAGGCACAGAATCCAGCTTTGATGGTGTACATGGAAAATGGTAGAGAAGTCATGCTATTTGGGAAAATTGAAAGTACATAAAATGAATTTGTTAAAGAAACCAATCTTCTGGTAGGTCTGTAACCAAGAGCACAGCTATCTGTAATGACAAGGATGGAGGACAGGAATGAAGGCTGACACTGCACATGGCACAGAAGAGAAGACCTGGTGGATGGGCTCTGAGGGATGCACTTAGATTCTGCATTATTCCTTTACCCTCAGCTTTGTGACAGAGGAATCTGGGTTTGAACTTCGTGGATTTTTCTCATCAGCACAAGAAAGGGGTTCATCGTGACCTTGACACTAGGGTTACTTTACCTTGGATTTCCAAACTGTAGTTCTTGAAAGTGAAGCTGAATTCTTTCTCTTTGGAAGGGACCTGAGGATTGGAGGCAGAGGCAGGTGCCTGTCCTTCTAGGCAGCAGCATCCTATGAAGCAAAGCTGCAGGTGCAAACCACGTAACCTTCGCTTAGGAAAATCCCTAAAGCTCCACCGACCCAGCTAGGAACGTCCACTCCGGGGCTTGCTGGCACTACTGTTCTACTCAGTCTCAGGGTGGTGTTTGGTCTACCTGCTGACCTGTTCCCAGAAAAACTGAACGAGGCTGTACTAGTCATTCTCCTGTCACTGGGACACCCACAATTTAAATGAAGAGAGGCTTATTTGATTCACAGTTTTCATGGATTCAGTCCATGGTTGTCTGTCTATAAGGCATGAATGGGCATACTGGAAGCACATGGCAGAGAAAATCTGCCCAACCTGTGGTAGCCAGGAAGCAGACACACACAGGGGAGGGGGGTCTCCTAATGACACACCCTGCCAACCAGGACCCACAGCATATGAACTTCTGAAGCCATGACAGGATAAATCCGCTCATGGGTACAGGACCCATGGTCAACCATCTTCCAAACACAGAACTTTTGGAGGACACTGCAGGATTAAACCATGACAGAGGTTTTAATCCACTGTTGTATGTCGTGTTTTCTCCTTCTTGGGTTCTTTGGCCTTTGGCTGTACCAAGACCAAATTGTGAAGCTATGGAGGGATGTCACATTGGCTTACAGATGAAATGCAGGATGGCCAACTAAGCTTTAATTTCAGGTAGACAGCAAATAGTTTTGTGGTAGAGGTGGGTCCCGGTGACAGTCGAGCTGGTTAGCCCGCGTGTTGCTCAGCACATTGTTTTTGGTTGTCAACTTGTTTACCATTTGATTTTTTATTGATGGGGATATGAAGAGGATGAAAGCATAAAGAGGAAGAAGGGGAGATTCTGTGTCCTGACCCAGACTAGGGTGGTGGTTCTTTCTGCTTAGGAGGACCTGTCTTACAGGCTGGGATGGGGCTTTCTGTGGAGTCCTCATGCTTCTAGCCTGGAGAATATATCTCTTGGTTGTGATTTTGCAAATTTCTAATTTGAATGATGTGTGATATGAATTTGAAATCTGAGTTCACTTAGCAAACTCAAATTAAAGGAGCCAGGTTAATTGCAAAATGAGCACATTACTACATTACTAAAGGAGGAAGTGCTTTTACCCTGCAAAGTGGGCTTTCTGGAGTGGCCTTGGGCCCCTGTGGCTAGGGACAATTTAATGGCAGCAGGCTGATTCTGGGGCAGGAGATGAGGAGCACACAGGTCTAGTGTAGATTCCGGGGAACTCAATTAAGCAGTAGAGGGAGGGCTTCGAATTGAATGCTGTTGGGACCAGCAAGGTCCTAGCTAATTCTGTACACGTAGAATGTGCTAAGCATTGGCTTATGCCAACTAAACTCATTTAAATGTCATCCCAGCATGCTAAGGGGGGTAATGGTATCATTATCCCATTACAGATGGGGAACTGAGTCAGGAAAGCTAAGCAACCTCATTTCTTAGCTAAATTAAGAAGCTAGTTTGTGGAAGGGAGAATTAGTGTGTGCAGAGGAGGCAGCCCCTGGCTGCTGGCTTGAGCAGAGTGTGGCCCAGGGGAAACAGTTGAGGATAAGACGGGTTGAGTATGCCTGTGGCAGGCCACCATCTCCCCACTGGTAGCTCACATGCACAGAGAAACCTGCCAGGCAGGGTTGGTGACCTGACCAGGGAAGTCATGAATAAATGATGACCCAGAAGCCATTGTAGAAGGCTCTTTTAATGAAAGAGCAAATGAAAGGTTGCAGGTTGGCCAGAGTTTAATGAGACTAAGCTAATGTTTTTCTTCTTCTCTTCCCCATTCCCAAGACTATCTCTGTCCAAGACTGTCCCTGCTAAACAGGTTCCCAGGGTTGCAGGGAGCGGGAGACATGGGAGAACTGTCCAAACCAGGAAGCCTTAGCCTTTGGTCCTTGGCAGGAGAGCAGCAGTATCCAACGGTCTCAGGAATCAGCCCAGCCTAACTGTGGACCAAGAGGGAAACAAGGCCAGAGGCCCAAGAGCATCAAGGCTCCTTGCAATAACCCTATGTAAGTCCCGGGGATGTCTGCAGATGCTGTGTCACAGAGGAAATAAAGGACTCCGCTGCCAACAGATGGGGTCATTTGATTTCCTCTGATACTGTGAGCTGAAAACCAAGAAAATTACTGAACTTGTTAACTCTCCTGGTTAAAATACAACAATTGACAGTAGCCAGGAGCTGGGTTTGGAAGGGAAGCCCTTGGATGATAAGCCATAAATTCCGTTTCAGTCACCCATGTAAGGGAAAGCTAGCCATAGCCCAAGGTCCACTTGTCTAGAAAAAGTCTTCTCCAAATCCTGCAAATGAGTCTTAAATGTGCAAATGATGACTCTAATTTATGCAAAAATTTGAGACTATTAACAGCTTCATCCACCTGAAACCCTCGCGGAGTTCCTCCCCATTATTCCTGCCTGTGGCTCCCTATGCAGTGGGCAGGAGTGGGCAGCTCCAGCTGGGCAGCTGGCTGTGTAAGGAAATGAGACTGCGGATCCAGATCATCATCAGTATTCAAGAAATCTGGACGTTCCCAGCCAGAAGAGGCATTAGAAGGTGACCAGATCTAGTTGAGTCATTTCTTCCCTGTAGTGACCTCCCTAAAAGGAGACAGTCAAGGGGGGATTTAAAACTGGCCTGCTGTGGAGGCTTGAGTTCTAGCATTCTTGGCCAGCGCAGAATTAGACAGGCGGAAGGAAGTGGGCTCTGGTCACCCTGATCACAATACAGATGCCTCCTTCCCCAAGAAAGGGCACAAGGGCGAACCCCCAAATAGGTTCCCAGTTGCCTGTAGGATTCATTTCTCCTGCACACAGGTGTCTGTTCACAGTCTCTACCCCCACCTCGCACTTCATTATGCACGTTTACATCAGTGGACATGTCAATGTGGGAGCTTTATTTATTTATTTAGAAATGCGTGCCCACACTGCTTACACAGAGACCACTCAAACTGGGGGCGACCAGGCCCTCCTCCTGGGGACCCCTAAACAGCAAAACGAAATAGACAACACCTACCACCACCACCACCACGGAAACATTTCTGTCTGGATCCCAGCTCTCAGGCAGCACTGGCTTTACCTGCTCTTCTGGTGCTCTGTTCCTGAATCCTGGCTTCTTCCTTTCAATAGATAATTAAAGCCTTTCTTACTTTCTAATACCCGTGGGGAAATTCCACTCGGAAATTCTCTCTCGCCTGTCATTTTTCCTTCACCGCAGAGAGGCGAGGGATGAGCAGGGCAGAAGGAGCTCTGGCTCTCGCTCTCTTCACTTTTTTGCAAATGACGTAGGGAGTTTGCACAGCCTCCCTGCCCCCACCTCCCCTCTTTGCTGCTAACCCCATTCCTGGAGAATTAGTTTTCCTTTTAATCCCTGATTACTGCTCCGGGTGCGAGCGGTGGGGGCTGCCCGCGGAGGAACTTCGGAACCCACGCCAACCTCCTCTGTACCCCAGCGGGCTGCCCGACTCTTGGGATCCCAGGTCCCCATCAGGCCGGTCTCAAAGCCTGGGAGGGCGGCAGCGCAGTGACACCAGACAGAGGCTCCCGCGCCCCCACCAGCCGGAGCTCGCTGGGGACAACTTACTGCGCTCGCTCGCCGGGCGTCCACAATTGCAAACTCCCAAGTGGAAGCGGGTGACACCGCCGAGGCTGTGTCGCGTCCAGGAAGGAAGGCAACAAAAGAGCAGAGGGCTAAGAGGAGGGAGGCCAAGAGGGAGAAGGACAGGGGCCGGGCAGTGCCTGACTCCCAGGAGAGCGCGCCTGGGGTGCAGATGGGGGTAAGCCCAGGAGAGGCGGATCTGGCCTGGGGACGTCTCTTGGCTGCTGCTCAGACAGGTAGTTAGGGGAAAGCAGCCAGCTCCCAGTGATGGCAGGGGCGGCCCCGGGGTGACCCGGGGGGCGGGAAGGTCCATTGCCCCGCGCCTCAGGACGCTGCCTCGTGCCTGTCCTCGCGCCCCTGCTCCCAGACACCTGGCTTTAGAAGGGACGGGCGGCGGCCGGCTGGAAAGGAAGTGGGGAAGCGGGGACCACAGTGGAGGGGGTCCTGAGAGGAGGCGGGGGCGGAACGGGGCGGGGGAGCCCTGAGCCGCGGATCGGGCCGGGTACCGACTGCCATCCTGCCGCAATCTCCCAGTGTCATGGCTCCGGTCTCTTAGCAACAGCCGCCAGTCCGGCCGCCCCGAGCTCCACTCCACCCGGCGGAGCCCGGCGCGCCGCAGCCACACAAAAGAAGCTCGAGGCCGGGGACCGCGCGGGCGCACGGCGGCCGGGGCGCCGCGGGAGGGGACACGGCGCGCGGGAGGCGGAGCGCCGGAGGGGGCCGGGCTCCAGCAGGATGCAGGACGCCGCCGTGGACCCGACACTTCTTGGAAACTCTTGGAAATGGCTCCCGCCACGGCGCCGGAGGGGGCCGCGAGCGCGGCGAGGACGCGCGCCCCCGCTAGGCCGCTGAGCCGCGCGCGCCCCGGGGCCTCCGCGCCGCTGTCCCCGCGCCCCGCCGTCGGCTCGGGCTGAAAAGTTTCTCCATGCTTCCTTTGTGTCACCCGAGCGCCCGCGCCCTGCCCGGGTAAGTGAGCGATTGTTCGGTGAGGCCGCTGCCATCTTGTCACCGGCCCGGGCGCCCCGCGCCCCGACCCCGGCCCCGGTGTTCCCGGCCCCGGCGTCCCGGGGGAGGCGCCTTCCCGGGGTCCCCGAGAGGCGCTGCCCAGGGATGAGCGCGGGTGGCTCGCTGCACTCCCGCCGCCTCCCCTCCCTGCCAGGCGCGCTCGCCACCGCCGCCGCGCGCAGGTGACCCCAGCACAGACGCGGCCACCGCCGAGGCCCGGGCGCGCTGCCCCGCTGGGCCGGGGTCGAGGACGTCGGGCTCTCACAGCCCGCGGGAGGGAGCAGAGCCTCCGACGCCGGGGGCTTCATCCATCATGAGCCCGGAGAACTTGACTGTCTCTTGGAAGCAGTTGTATTTTTAGACATTGCCCCGAAGCTTCCCATCCTCCACCCCTTCTCCGCGGGAAGCCCGGCACAGGCAGCTATCGCCAGGGCAGGAGCCAGCCTCCCTCTGTCGCTAAGTTTCTTGGATGGGGTGAAAAAGGCCCCCCGCCTCCGAAGGGGTCTCCCGAGGTACAGACCTTGGTCACCGTTTCCTGTCGGTCAGGTGGCAATGCGCTGGCCAGTTGAGCCTTCAGTAGAGCTGAAGGAATAATAAACCAGGGAGCTAATTACTAGCTATTTAACTCATTTTAAAGATCTTTAGTAAACCAGTGCTGGAATCCATTCCGAGCCCTAGCGGAAGGGTAAGCTAACTGGCCACCTTTCTCCAGATCCAGGACAGCCAGCATGCTGGGGCCCCTGGCTGAGACCCAAGAAGGAAGCCCTTCGCTCAGGGGGAGGCACCCTGCAGACCGAGTCTGGCTTTGCTTCTAAAATGTCCTTAGTGCTTTCTGGAGAGAACCCCAGACCTCCGGGTTATTAGAGATGCTGGAGTCTAGGGCTGGCCACAGCAGTCTCTGTCTGGCAACTACATGATAAACGCGTTTATTGGGGACTTGGGGGGTAAGATTTGTACTTACACTTTTTAAAATTTAAAAAGGTGCGTAGTTGTATCCTCTCTATACCCTCCCTAGTCTACCTAGTGTCTTTGTTTACTGCAATTCAACTCCAAAGAGTTCCAAAGAGACACTGATCAGCCAAGGAGCTGAAGTGGATTACCATTTGCTTTGCTACAGGAAGAGTCTGCCTGTACTAATACAATGGGAGGAGGGCTCAGGGCCCGCGGTGTTCACCCCAACACCAATGCAAAGCAAGTAACCCTACATTTTCAAAGGGCAGTTTATTCAAAAACGTGGATTATTTTAGAAAGGGTAAAATACCAAAGGCCTGCCAGGGAGGACTGCATCTTTCAGACCAGGGCAACACCCTTGATATTAGCATCTCTGTTATGGGAAAGGAAGTATTCTGAGGGTCCAGCGGGACTGCGATTTCAAGAGGCTGTCAGATAACCACAAACAGGCATCTGGGAATTGACCTCTGCAGGCTGCATTGCAAACAACTAAATAAACTTCCAAAAGACAGTCCATGGATTGGTGCCACCTTCCTTCCCCAAACATGACCTCATGGAAAGGATGGAGCCAGCAGCTGTCCCTGGGGAAATGCCACCCTAAGGACCATCCTCTACTGCTCTGAGTCCTGGCATTCCTGTGGGCATGTTACCGGGGAAGGGAGTCAGGAAGCTATTACAGCAGAGGGCTGTGACTCCTCCCCCTCCCCCCATAATTTTCTCATCTGAGAGAAAAATCTTTCTCTTTGGAGATTCCAAAGGACCTCTCAAAATCCCTGGTGAAATGTAGCCTGAGATATCTTTAAGGGATTCCTCTGAGGGAGGAGAGAAGGCCATTAGGCAGAGCTCAGTTACATAACTGTTACCTAAAACTAAATATTCCACCCCAAGAAGCTGTCCAGATGTTGCAGGGTAGAGATGAGATCTACTTGCTGTTTGCCAAAGGAACCAGAATAGCAGACCGGCAGCTTGGTGCAGGGACTTGTTACAAGAGTATTAAAACATTTGTGTTTCCTCCACCCTTGAACTCTATTAAGTATGTGGAGTAATTAAGCCTTCTCCCTGTGTGTAAGGCCTTTCATCCAGTGAGGTGAATTCCTTTTACCTTTGGACAAGAAACACTTTTGTGACTGCGTTAGTGATTTGGGGCCCCCGGGGACACTCCTTGTCTTACTAGGGACACTCCTGCTTAGGAAGTCTGATTCTAGCCAGAAATGTCAGGAAAGCCCTCCTCTACTACTTTGAGTCCGCGCAGGAAGCCAGAAGGTTTTGGAAGAGCCGGTTGGAGTCTTGGGATGGAGGGTTAGAGGCGTCCCTAAATTATTTCATCCCCACTATCATTAGGTTACTGCCCTCGTGCCCCCTCCCTTACTCTCCATGCATCCCTGCTCCCAGACTGGGCACTCGGGTAAGGGCGCTGGGTGGGGCACCCCATGGGCTCTAGGAGCCAGGCCATGGTGCGCGTGGGATGTCTCTGCAGCCGAGCCTCCACCCTCTGACTGTCTCCCTCTGCTCTGCAGCAGGAGGAGGTGGAGGAGCAGCTAGCGGGCAGCTGGCGGCCCCCCTGCACGAGCGTCCGCCGGGCCCCCGGGGCCAGCCCCACACTCCACGAACTGGCCATGATCGCCACCGGCGGCCTGCTGAGGATTTCCGCCCGGAAGCAGGATCCCTTGCGCACCCCGGGCCAGGTGCCCAAGCGGAAGCGGAAAGCTAAGAAGAGGCGCAAGAACGACGTGGTAGTGGTGAAAGGCAAGCTGAAACTGTGCTCCATTTCGGGCCTCATCGCCCTGTGCGGAATCCTGGTGCTGCTAGTGGGCATTGCCCTGGCCGTGGTGGGCTACTGGCCCAAAGCCAGCGGGGCCGCCCGGGAGGGGGGCAGGCAGCCGCCCCCAGCGGGCACTGGGCACAGCGCCCCAGCCAATGGCAGCGGCCAGGCACCCTCGGTGGGCGCCCCCTCCAGTGCCATGGGAGCGCCCCGAAGCACACGTGCGCCCGGCCGGTCCACGCCTGCACCCGTAGGCTTCTTCTTCCGCATCTTCTCGGGCTACCTGCACTCAGACAAGCTCAAGGTCTTCGGGCCGCTCATCATGGGCATTGGCATCTTCCTCTTCATCTGCGCCAACGCCGTGCTGCACGAGAACCGCGACAAGAAGACCAAGATCATCAACCTTCGGGACCTCTACTCCACCGTCATCGACGTGCACAGCCTCCGCGCCAAGGATCCGGCCGCCGCAGCCGCCGCCGCCGCCGCGCCCGCGCCCCCGGGCCCCGCGCCGCTCAACGGCTTCCTGGGCCGCTTGCAGCCGCGCGGCCTGGAGCGGACGCCGGGCGGCGCGGGCGACGCCTTCGGAGCGGCGGCGCTGCTGGCTCGTGGCGCGTGGCGCCCCCGCGCGGCGTCCCCGCCAGACCTGGCCTCCTCTCCGCGCCGCCCGCCCGAGCCCCCGAGCCTGGCTGAGGCAGTGTACAGCATCTGGCGCGAGCGCGCCGGGGTGGCCGGCCAGCGCCGGACCGCGGCTCCCACGGCCGCCAGCGGCTGCAGCAGCCCGGCGCCCTGCAGCCCTCCCGGGAGCTGGGAGCGCCCGAGCACCGCCAGCTCCCTCGTGGGCTCCTCGCTGAGCGCCTTCGCGCTGCTGCCCTTGCCTGGGGACCGCGAGCGGGACGGGGACGCGGAGGGCGCAAGCTGCAGCTGGCGGAGGTCGCCCGGGGAGCGTGGCTCCTCGGAGCTCCCGCGGGGCGGCGCGCTCGACCTGAGTCTCACCGACCTCCGCGGCGCCGAGGGCGGCGCGCCCTGGGGGCACGGCGCGCCCGAGGAAGTCGAGGGCAAGGAGGCGGCGCACATCGCGGGAGGCCAGGGCGGCCGCCTGCCCAGGACCGTCAGGTTCGCGTCCCTGAGGCGCCGCAGCATCAGCGGGCTCCCGGACTTCCGCGCACCGCCGTCGCCGGAGCCGCCGCCCTCCCTGAGAGTCGCGGACCCGGGCTCCACCCATTCCAACTCGGCCGCCTCCCCCTTGACTCCCCTGCGCCTGGAAGAATCGCCCTGTGCCAGCAGGCGGGACTCACAGAGCTCACAGTCCGATGACCCGTCCAGCAGCAGCGATAAGGGCTACACCCCGCTGCAGGATGCCGGCACCTCGCTGGAGTCAGTGGTGGACTCAGTGGCCAGTCACAAGCAGGACTGTACGACAGCCTCTGATATGGAGAGTGAGCAAAGCCACTCGGAGGGTCCCAGTAAAGAGCCACTGGAGACCCAAACACCCCAGCCTGTGCAGAGGCAGTTTACAAATAAGGAGAAACTCTTCATGATTTCCAGGTCTCGTGCCATAGGGGCAGAAGAAGAAGAAGAGGAGGAGGAGAGTACTGGCGACTAGGGAGAGGACAGCAGAAGAAGGCCAGAATCGCCCACTTCCATCAGTGCATTAGCAGCCCCTCGACGCCTTTGCGGACTGATCCGAGGACATCATTCCATATCCAAAGAGCTGCCGAATGTTATCCTTGAGTTGTGTTCACAAGATTCCTGTAGATTACTCCAAGCAATTTTTTTTTTAAACAAAGCAATCTAGTCTTTTTATGTCCGATGGTGATTGTATGGTCCTTGAAAACCAAATGTATTCACAAGGTCAGCAATCTAGTTCCTCAGATAAAAAGGAAATCTCTTAATTTTCTTAGAATCAAAATAATATATTTTTGACAGTAACTGTGCACTTTACTCGAATCTTTTTTGGGAATACCTAAATTTCCTAACCCCTATGTTCCACCACAGGTCTCCTCTATAGCTGCTTGCAAATGAGAAGCTTGTATTTTTCCTCCCTTTGCGGAGCACAGAAGCCCAGCTCTCTCTGAGTTGATCTTTCTATATGAAGTCCAAGCCAAATTGAGGCAAGAGTGTGCCCCTTGTCCTCCCACACTCTGCTCATGCACTGTCTTTATTTTTCAAAAGGGTATTTGCATTTTACTTACTACTAGGGTCTGGTTTCCAGACTGGAAGGCAGTAACAGCTAGCTGGGTTGCCACATTCCCGAGCTCACAACATGAACCAATTCATGCTTTATTGAGTATTCTCACACCTGTGTATTGAAAAATAGCATTAATATTTAAAATTCTTTGAATAAAAGAAGTTTCCAAACAATTCAACATAACTTTGCTTTTTTTTTTTTTGCCTGAGAACTAACACTTTTAACATTTATCTGTAAATCTGGTAGTTTAAATATCTGGTAAATCTAAAATATCTGTTAAATCTCAAATATGTTGCTGTGACATTGCTACTATGTCTTCTGTTATCTTCTCCCAAAATATGATTACATTGATTACCAATATGTTTTTAACTTAAAAACAGAAAAGTAGTACAACACATTTGGGGGTTTCTTTTTCAAGTAGAATGAATTTTTACATAGCACATTTCTTTAATAGGTTACCTAGCACATTTCCATAATATTTCTAGTTAACCTCAGAATATTAACATACAGAGCTAAAGGCCTACTATTCTTTTTCTTAGCCTCTTGGATTTTGCTATCTGATTTTGATGCTATCTAAATTTATGATCTTAACTATAGGCAAAAAGGTAATGTTTCAGTACGTTAGCAGACTTTGTATTTGATGCTTTTGACAGTCTTTTGATTTGTAAGAAGAGTTGATGAAGAATTAATTTAAATCCTGGTGTCTCTCCTTTCCTGTGACCTGGGAATCTTGGCAATGGTGTCGCCTTCCTTTGGCCATTTGGATGCAAGCTCAGGGAGCCTGACTGTCCTGGTGGACTGTGAAGGGAAACCAGTGAAAAATGCAGTCCCAGTGGAGCAGCTGGTCCTGCAGAGTACAGATCCAGGACTAAGGGTGGATCCCAGCTCTGGGCGAAGGCCTACGAGTGTCACCAACACAGAGTCTCAGTGGCTGCAGCCATGAGACCATGATTGGTTGCAGCCATGATTACTACCCCACCATGCATGCTGTGGAAGAACTGGCCTTCCCTGGCCTCACCTTGGCTGAAATCTGGACTATCCACTCATTATTGGAATAACCTTAGTGAATCACTTAATCTGGGCCTCTGCTTCGTGATGTGATCTCTGTGATGGCCTTCAACTCTAAATGCTTTACTGAAGTTCAGGGTACTGGTTTCAGCCGATAGACAATCAATCATATTTGCACATAACAGCAAGGAGTGAGTATACCTCATCAATTCCCACTAGGGTACCATTCCATAAGAAATTTTTTAAAGGTTTCATTTTTTTCTCTCAGATTGGATATGTGTTGGGCTAAAAACTCACTTTAAAGCTCTTGACTAATTTGTTGAGCTCTTCTATGGAGCAAAAGTGGGTTTACACTACTAAGAATGACAGAAAAGGACCTTCCGGTAGTATTGCATTTCAGCAGTAGAGTATATTTTCACACTTCCAAGCAACAGCAAGAACAACAAAAGTAAATTTCCCTATGTTTTCTCCTCCATTACCCTGCATAATGGGTAATTTGAGAGAATATGTCATATAACAGGAAAACTGCTTCTAGCCCTCAGACGATGAACTCAAATGACATTTGGCAAATAATCAGGCCACCTCTTAACTGAAGAGAGGTGATCAGAATAATACTTACCCTACAAACTTCAAAAAAATTCAGTCTAAACCTCTGTCTATACTGCATGATTCTGATTGCCTGATAATATTGATCGGATTAAATATGTAAATCCTTCTGGCTTTTGCTGCTCTCATCCACAAGGCCCCCTGAAATGAAATAACTCCAGCAAACTTTGTTTACCATCAAGTTATAACTATATTAGTCAATGAGCAATTTAACCAGATTTTCTTTCTCTCTCTCTCTCTCTTTTTTTTTTTTTTTTGACCCAAGATTAAATAAAAAGTTAAAGCTCAGTTTTCCACATCTTGGTAGGAGTCTGGGATTTCCATATACTACTTCAGGCGAAACTTCTGCAGTTCTGATTATAGGAACTGACTGTCCTAACTTTCATAGGAGCAGAAAGCTTACTCGATAGTAATGTTAAGTTTTACTCACTTTAACTTAGGCCATGTACTATTCCTCCAGGTTTACATGCAGTTCTGCTGAGGTAGGATCATTATTACTCCTATTCTATGAGAAAGATAGCAAAGTCAGAGAGATGGACTATTTCCTTAGGATGATCCCACTGGTAAATGACAAAAAAAAGGGTTTTCACGGTTTTCGAGATTATGTGGTCCTGCTAGCAGATGTGGAGATAGATAATGTTTGTGTTTCCAGAGACCTTTACAATACTGTCTCCGAATTGTCCCGCTAGGTCCCCTGCCAGAACCATCCTTAGTGCTATGCAGACAAATATTAGAACTTGCAATCAGGTTAAAAGCTGAAGTTTGTGTTGCAGCCTTTGGGCTGCATAAGCAAGTTTTCTTTTCTCTAAATGAATTTTTTGTGCACAATCAATAGGAATCTTCGAAGGCATGGGACCCTACTTGTACTTATAAATGAGAGTACTAAGATTTAGGAAGACAGAGCAACCTGTTCAGAGGCAAACAGCAGTGGTAGGATTATTCTGTTGACATAATTGCAGTAATTGGCAAGAGATTTTTTTTTTTTTTTTGTACTGGGGATCAAACTCATGACCTAGCACTTGCCAGGTAGGTGCTTATGCCAGTGAGCTAAACCCCCGGGCCAGCAAGAGACTTTTTACCCCTGAGTGTCATGTACTAGCTGATTGGTCATGGACCACCTACTTAGTTTCTCTGTGTCTCAGTTTTCCTTCCATGCAACAAGATTAAAGATGATTTCTATGGCACAGGATTGCAACGAAGAGTAAAGAAATTAATGTCTGTGTAAGTGTTTATCACAGGTGTGGCTCATACAGTGTTATCAAAGTTTTGTTAGTTTTGTTTCAAGTAAAATCAACTGCTAAAAAGAATATTTTAGTATGGGCTTCCTTTTTATCAATAGAAGAAATTTAGGTTTAAAAATAGAATCCATAAGGCAATCCCCGGAGTGTGACTCTGAGGAATTACACAGTGCTAGACCTGGGATCTACGTCTATGAGATGGAAATAATAAATAGCACTGGACTCGTAGGATTAATTAGTCACATGAGGTCCAAATGTACATAATGGATTGGAAAGCTAATGTACATAAAGGATTGGAAAACAATTTCTGGCAGACAAAACATTCAGTAAATGTTAAGCACTATGACTGAGGTAAATAGTAGGTTAAATTTTTAACTCAATTAGTAGGGCATCCATAAATCTACTGTACTGAGAAGTCTTAGTAACTCAGTTCAGGGTAGGGAAAGACCATGACGGCCAAGGTCTGGTGCTGCTGCAGTGTCCCCAGCAGAGCCCAAAGGAGTGTCTAGGACTAGAGGTGTCTGACCTGTGGGATGATATGTGCACCCACAGTGGGGTAAGAGGGACTCGCTGGGCTGGCCACGCTGACCCCATGTCCACAGACTGAAGCTGGTCTTGCCAGGAGGGCCTGCGTGCTCCAAGATCCCAGACCTCATCAGAATATCCTGAAGCAAAGACAGGTGATCTACTGAGATACTTAAGTTCTTTGGGCAAAAGTGTTTTCCATTCTTCCTGTGAGTCGTTTTGAGATTCTCTTCAAGACATAATTTTGAAACTTTATTTTACTTCTTTTTTTGGGGGGGGAGCTAGAGAACTTAAAAAAGAAATTTCTTGTGCCATAAGATGAATACAAATTAAAGATATGATTTGCATTTTTGAAAAGGATAGTATCTGAGCTAAGATATAAAAATACATTTTAGTCTTGTGATTTATAAATACTATCTCCTTGTGTTAAGGGTGATGAGGTGGATTTCTATTAATAACAAATAAAGAATGGGAATGTTATCTATGGATGCTGTTTCTGAAAGTCACAGACTAATTTTTTCATTTTAATTCATTTTGGAGGGGTAAATCATTGGGTGAACCCAGTGATACCTTGGTTCACAGAGTCAGTTTTCTCCCGGATGCTGGCCACAAACCAAACTGGTTGAGAACATGATCAAATAATCCAGTAAGAGCAACATCGAACCTAACCATCAAATTTGATTCAGTTCTTATTCGATTTCCTTTGCAACCAAAGCCACAGAAAGAATCAAGTTTGTGAACCGAGGCACCGCTACATTTGAATGCCTGGATTAAATTTTTGAATGACTATCTCTGAAAATGATTCTAATGCCTTTTTTTCCTTTCCAGGGAAATCATCTTTGAGGGCTTTTTGCTTCAAAAAGGAATGAGTTTCTTTTAGTGGAGATGGAACTTTTTTCCTTTTAAGCCACCGCAAGGTGGAGAGTCCCGCTTTAGTCAGATGTCAACCCACCCCTCTCCAAAGACTGCTCTACTGGCTTTCTGTGGCATCCATCCACCAGTGAGTCAGGAAAGCCCTGGGCTAGAGTCAAGGCCAGCTAGGTTGAGCCCTGGTAAGGGTGATCAGTCCTCCTTCGTCCCACAGCCAGAATCCTTTAGGGATTTTACCGTCAGAAACTATATTGCTGTTCCACCTTAGAGGGCGGGTCTCATCCTTCCCCTTCTGTGATGCCAACTAAGATGTGGCCCTGCATGACAACCAGGACCCTTGCTGATGCATCACTGCGGTAACATTTTGTGGTCAAAAGAGTCCACAGGCCTCTGCAAATGAGCCAGAAGTATCACAGAGCATGCACCCACCTCCACTAACCTGGGCTTGTGATCCCGCACTGTGACCGACCCCTGTGAGGACAGGTAGCTGGCTGTCACCAACCCAGGAAGAAACCAGGGGACAGCCTGCACCTGAAAATCCTGGGGAAAGAGAAGAACCGCAGAGTCAGGCTAGCTAGCGTCTCCAGGAATGCTTCCGTCTAACAAAAGAGCACTTGGTTACTCTTGTTTATCGACCATTTTGTATGTAGGCAAGAGACGTGAAATAAAAAATGTAACAGCTCTTATTCCATAGAAAAATGTTCTTCCAGCAAATGCATAGCCAGACATTAATTCACTTATTTTTCTTTTTAAACCATTTGTATTTAAACTGGAAAATACAGTTTTAAAAATTGTTATTAGTACTTGCTTGCCCTATGTAATGATCACGTGGGTTGTGGGGAGTTGATACACATGCACAGCATGTTAAATTTTTTTTGGTATCAGAAATTGAACTCACAACCTCACCAGGCAGCCATTTATATAGCACGGTAATTTTCACAGAGCGCTGTATCATCAACAAAGAACCTACTTGACACTAATAAATACTGAACATGGTGTAATGTGCAATGTTGAAACGATTGACAAACTTACGAGCAATAGCTTTTAACCTGAGCACCTCGGCCACTCCAAGGTGATTGTTTACTTGTGTCCTAAGTTAGTTGGCGCCTCATCAGTAGTGGCTCATGTCATTGCTTCACATGCACAAGGCCTGGCCCATCCATGACATGGCGCTGGGGCCGGAGGGAAGCTACGGTACCGGTAAGCAGCTCGGGCCCCGCCTCTGTCCTTTTGCTACGTCACACAAATTGTTCCAGAGCCCTGCGAGGCGTCTTGTGAGCTGGGCATCCGGAGTCAGGCAGGCCCTGCTCGGGGGCCACAGGCGGGAGAGCTGGGGACATCACGTTTCTGACCTCAGGAACTCGCAGCAGCGCTGCTTTGGGGAGAAGCGTGTGAGCGATATCAAAAGCACAGTGTAAGTGCTGTGAGAAAGTGGCGTGGACCTTCCACTGTGAAGGAATGTCAGGCAGGCACAGAAGCCTGCAGAGGGGCGTGTGTGGTCAGGAGGAGGCAGCGCAAGCAACTGTGGAAGCGAAACTCTGACAGCCAGGCTTTCTTCTTTAAAAACAGTTCACATTAAAATTATTCACATATGCTCAGTGTGCAAATAATGGTTTTCTTTATGGAATCCCATACGTCTAACACATACTTTGACGGTGTCTACCCTCCCTTTTCCCTCTGGTGTTCCTCTTCTCCTTCTGCTTGCTTCCCAGTCCCCTCCTCGATAGTTCCCTCTCAATTTTATAACTCCCCCAGCCCCAGATTGCACAAAGAAAGAAAAAAACAAGCCATGCTTGTCTTTCTGAGTCTAGATTATGGTCCCCTTCTCTGTCCATTCGCCTGCAAATGACACGACTTCATTTTTCTTGGTAGCTGAATAATACTCCATCAATCCAGGAATGGCCCCTCAGCCGATTCCCTAGCTCGGCTGTCCTGAGTGGTCTGCCCGGAGACATGGGCTGTGCAGCTATCTCTGGAGTCCACTGCCTTTGACGCCTTTGCTGGGGTTTCATGAGGCACCCTAGATCTGCCATCTGTCTTGTATCCGTGCAGGAGCAGAGTGCGGAGTTTGTTCTGAAATACCAAAACTCCACATCTGTCTATCTACATAGATGTAAACAGGCATCTTCTTTATAAACTGTTTTAGAAACATATGGGGAATAAAGGAAAATTACTAGACATCAAAATACCCTAAATACACACACCACCCCCCATTTTTTTCACTGACTCCTAGTAGGATTTTCCAGCTGAGACACATCAGTACATAGTACCCCCAAATTGTGTTCTTATTGGACCTCAACTGCTTTTATGGTTTTTCTTGAATTAACTAGTGCTTAGCAATTACCATTCCATTTCAGATTTCAAATTCTGGGAGTCATTTCTCTGATGCAGACATGAGTAGAGAAAACAGAGAAAATCCGTCACCTGGCAACGCTGTTTGTACGATTCCCCGTGTGGTGGGAAGAACTGCTTGTCCACACACAGTGGAAGCTGAAGGAAGCAGAAATCTGGGGGCCGCCTGGTGAGGCTCCGGGTGATTTTGCAAGATCCAGATGGGGAACTGGGTGTACTTCTATGGATTCCCACATCAATGGGAAGCGCCCTTCATGTCAGAACAAAATAGTTTATCTTTGCTAATAACAAGCATCCTGTTCCTATTCTTCCTCACATACATGTCCACAGCAAAAGGAAAACTTATTTAAGAACCAGACAGCCTCTTTCAAATGACCAATGGGCCTTTTGATTTTTGAGAGTCAGTCATTTCGGGACAGTCACCAAGAACAGACCTGGCCAGCACGGTGCAATATGGATTCAGCTTAGCACTTCTTGTACCCTCAGGGCTACAAACAAAAAGAGAGAGACAATGTTTTTGGTTTTTGGTTTTTACTTTTTAATAAAAAATTCTAAAGTAAAAAAAAAATGGTATTGTAAGAAAAATTGTTTGAATCCCCCCTGTAATCTCTTAATGCTTCAAAATCTTTTTAGTGCATAAACTGTCAAAGCAGGAATATAAAATGTGCTTTTCTAATCCATGAGGGTGAGGATTTTACAGAAGCACTTACCATCGCAGATAAAATTCAATAGATATTATCAGGTGACATTTCATTGTCAGAGCCACTAACACATCTGTCATGGGGATACAGTTATTGATAAGAGTTTAAAATTTGGAATGCTGGTAGATAAAGAGCGGTAGTTAATACGGCCTGGTTAATCATTCCAGGAAGCAAATAGAATCCTTAATAAAGAGCAAAGAAATTCAAAGACTAATTTAGTGACCTAAATGCTAATCTTTCCGCTTATGTAACCACACAGCTCAATGTGTTTGCAGCCTAAATATGACTTGAGTGCTTGCTTATTTTAGTGTACAGTTCCCTCCTTTTGTATTACTAATTTCATTTCAGGTTCATGCCTGGGCACAATTCTTGATGGATGAATTTGTTGGAAGAAAATTAATACATTTAAAATGTGCTATTAATAATACACTTCTAAAAGGACAAAAAGTGATTGGAATATATTGCTAGTAATATAGGATTACTGTTTGTTCCCCAATTTATAAATACCCTCTCACATAGAGAATAAATTGACTGATATCTTCTCAAAACACACGCCGGTGAAAGCTAAACCACAATTAAAGTGCGTGTTTACGACCTCCGCACTCCTCAAGCTCCATGGATGCCCGGCCCTGAGAATTTTCCTTTGTTTACCCAGTATATTCTGTCTCATTCAGGGATATGGTGGTGCGTGCTTTCCAAGACCTTTTATTATTATTACGTGAATGAAGAGACAATGTAACAACGTTCCAACCACCTGAAAAAGAATACCGGCTTTGATTAAGTCAATGACAATTAAGTATATCACTTCCAAAGATACCGAACGAGCATCTATTTAGCCTGAATGAATCAAAGCCTGTATGAATCATTGTCAACGAAAATACCAAGTCATTGCTTAAAAAAAATAAATGAAGTGATATGAAAAGAAAAAAAAATTATTTTAGGTATGATTAAGGCCAAGAGTAAAAATAATCCAAGCTGATGTACAGTAACTTCCAATGCAACATAACTTAGAAAATTGTCTAGCGATTGTGTAAATGTGATTTCATTAACTGGGTTACACAATGGCTAGGGTGCATGGTTAATTAGGCACGCTCCCACTGGCATGTGGAAGGGAATTGTAAATTGCACTCGGAAAAGGCTGTTTTGAATTCTAAGCCCAGGAGCTGAGAGGTGATTGCTAACTTTTCTTGTCCACCAAAAGTGACGCCCCCTACAGGTATCACAGTGTTGCACATGCTTCCTGGAGTTTACTGACTCAGGTTAGGAAAAGGGACAATGGCTACAGGGGTCTGTGCCTCCCGTGGCTTCCCCTTTGTACCCTCACCCTCCAGCTCCCTTGACTAATGGACAGAAGGCAGCAATAGGGCACAGAGTGGAAAGTCCAGCCAGGGGTCTTTTGATTCATAAGTGCTCCTTACAGTTAAAGGCAGATGGAGGGACAAACCATGATGAACCAGTGTCTACTGAGATCCAGAATATTTTTTACCATAATGTGGAAATTTTTTTCACGCCTGAGATTGATTTCCAGTCCAAACCTGGGATGGTAGGTTTTGGGAATTAGGCAG